CGAGAATTGAAAAAATCCCCGCAATTATTATTATGAATCAATTGATTTTGCCAATGAGATCTCCAGAATAATTAGTTGTAAAATTATTTAGAAAAATATTACGTGAAGCTGATTGAATAATAGAGTGAATAATCATTTATTATGACAGTACAATGGTCTTGGTAATTTAATGGAGTTTGTTAGTTACATTGAAATACTAATTACTTGACCAAGGCAATTGGTCAAGTTTGAATAACAAACCCCAAGTAGGTGAACTGAGACAAGGATCTATATTTCTCCTTGCAGCGTTTGAAAACTCCAACAAACTCGATTATCACGATGCTACCAGTGCTTTATGACCAATCGATATTTCCCTAATATTCCATGCAAACGATATATGCACGTTCATAGAATAGTACAGTTACTGAAAAGAACTTCCCCAGAGGATAGGTAATGCCAGGGTGATTGCATTATTCAATGGTAACTCTCTCACGTATTTTTTAATCGGTTGAAAAAAAAAATGATTTTACATTACAGACTTGTGACAGCTATTGGAGATGCTTATGGAGTTGCTCTTTTGTTCCACATGCTGATCACCACTATTACCCTGACCCTCCTAGCATACCAAGCCACCAAGGTAATTATTCAAAGAGACAGTTGCAAGGAAAGAGGCCATTTTTTATGACAATCGAAACTCTTCAATATTTCAGGTGAATGGGGTCAATGTTTATGCTGCTACAACTATTGGATATTTGTTGTACTCGCTGGGGCAGGTCTTTCTCTTCTGCATTTTCGGTAATCGTTTGATTGAAGAGGTAATTACGGTTAAATAATGTTTAGTTATCTCACTGGGGTGAGATCTGATGGGGGAGTAATTGTACAGTGATTTTTTATTTTTATTTTCTTTTGGAAATTTTCAGAGCTCTTCTGTGATGGAGGCAGCTTATTCTTGTCACTGGTATGATGGCTCTGAAGAAGCCAAGACCTTCGTTCAGATTGTGTGTCAGCAGTGCCAAAAAGCCATGTCTATATCCGGGGCTAAGTTCTTCACCGTTTCTTTAGATCTCTTCGCCTCGGTAAGCATGATTTTTTTTTTCATTCACCAGAAAACCCCCGGGAAATTCATTAACGTGTGCAATATCCACGTGTGTCTCAATTTCAAGAAGAAAGAGACAGAAGTTCAGCAGTTAAATAAAATTATTACGCAGATTGAATTTCTTGATATAAAACGGAGAAAGGAAATCGATCTCGAAATATCTTGAAATATCTCGAATGATCCCAATGGTCAGACCCATAAGCCGTAAGACGAAACTGACCCACCGTCAGAACGTTGTAGCACAATTAAAAAATTCGAAACATCAAAAATTTTTTTAATTGTTAAAATCCGGGAATTTTCGGAAACTGATGGAGGTTGCTAATTATTGAACGGATTTTACTCAAGGGCGGAAGAAAATTCAAAAAATTTTAAAACATTCAAAAAGATCATGACAATTGCTTCAAGATCAAATCAAATGACTTTTTTAATAAAGAAAATATAATTCCGGAATACATCAGGCCTCTAAATAAATTTATTCTTATGCAATCTAAAATGCAAAATGCAAAATATGCAAAAAAAAAATGAAATGCTCTGAAGACTTTAAAAGACGAAGGTATGAATTTCATTGGTTAAAGTCCCCTCGGTTGCAATGGGAGTAGATTTTTTGGAATTTTAGATTTTATCAAGAGTATCAGGCAAACGAGTGATGGTTCGACGATAAAAATTCATAGATATTCAATATTCAGTATTCAGTAATAGTCCTCAGGTCTGAGTGTATATACTGACATTTATAAAAGACATACAAACTGAGGGTGGCTGAGTTGTGATGCCCCACATGTATTTCAATCTTTACATGCGCCCACAAAATCAATATCACCATTAATATTCTTCTTTTCCTATCCAAAGGTTCTTGGTGCTGTGGTAACGTACTTCATGGTGCTGGTACAGCTGAAGTAAATTATCGATAGAGTAAATTGGGAGGGCTTCAAAACCCGAATCAATATAGGGGCCAGGAAATTGGGAGATGGACAAGGGGCTGAAAACAATTCAATAACTAAAACCTCAATTTTCTCATCGTGCTTTGTCCCTGTGTCGGGCACATCTTTTTAGATTTTCTATTTGAAATTCTCAACATCATTATTGCGGGATTATAGCCATATCGTATTATCGATTCGAGAAAAGAAGGAAATAACAGAGAAATATTGTAGGAATTATTCTGTCTTCTTTTCTCATTTATATTTAACTTTAATGAGCGAAGGGAGATTTAGGGGATGATCAGGTGATCAGGGGTTGAAAGGGGCATTTTTACTAGGAATCACGATTATTTTAAATTAAAGTTCTAAGGTGCACGGAGTTTAATTCTGTATACAATCAGCACATTTGAAATTTTTTGGGGAAAAATATTACGCTATTTATATATTATTATAGATAATTTAGTCAATTTTATAAGTTATTGGAACAGAGCGCAAGTTTCAGGCTGTCTCATTGTGACCGGAATGTATTTGTTATGACATACAAACAATTAGGGGTAGAAGTAATGAAAATAATTGCCTTCGAACTGGAATAATTAGACAGACCGGAAAAAAACTTGCGTTTTGGTTTTCGCTCTGTTGTGTGTTTTATTGGTTCCAGGGAATATTTGTGAGTGTAAATAAACATTATTATTGAATATTTAGAAGAGAACATCAAACATTCAAATAACGAGAGAATTACAGTTTACAATGCAAAGAAATATGAATCTTTGTCACAGAGAAGTTGTAATATACGAAAAACCACGAGTTACTCAATCTTCTGTTATAATTGTGATTTTCGAAAAAAAAAAATTCACCAAACAATTTTATTTCATGTTCTGTTCGTTTATTCTTGTAATTAGATAATAAAAAGTTTTTTTTTAATAAAAATCGTGAAACCTGTTCTGCAAAATTTTCCCCGATTTCAGCTACCAGATAAAAATTAACTCAATAATTAGTAAATCAGAGAGCGAATTAAAAGTTGCAAAACTACATTATTGAATGGACAATAAATTAAACGAATTAATTAATGGATTAATAAATTGATAAATAGATAATCCGAGTGGCGAGTGGGAAGCTAGTGGGAAGCGAGTGAAAAGTTGCAGTGGGCAATTGAATTGAGGTGGTATAAATAAATAATGAATGATTAAGTGAAAAATTGGAGAGTGAAACTGTTGGGAGTAATGTTGTACGAAAAAGCGGAGGGGAAGAAGATATGGAAAACGCAAGCGCAGGAGAATATCCCCAGCATCCCCAGTTGTCCCGCGACAGGGTTGAGTTTCGATCGACCTGGTGGGGTGCACAGTGAATTGCACAGTGGGTAAGAGAGTAACAGACAGGATTGCGAGACAGAGAAAATGCTGAGACCGCGCTGGTCTCCTCGTGCTTGACGATGCGTTACGAGTTTTACAATATTTTCCCCTTATTTAGTGTTTTAATGACAGACACACGCCAAACAATTAATCGTGTGTGATAATGCAACCCAAGACGATACCAGTGGTACAGACAAATCGTGATAAGATATCCTGATAACAGTCCAATTTCTCCGGTGAAACCACTGATTCATAAACAAATGGGCCTTGGCATTGTGAGTGTTCAGTGATTCTCTCGCGATTATTAATAATTTATTCCATTGACAATACACACGAGCAATTATTAAAAGCGATTAAACAATCTGCTGAGGATTACATTAATTAGGAATAATTTAATGCCTTCTGTTATTGTTCTGGATTTTTTTTTCCGGAGATTATTGTCCGGAGACGATTGCAAAATCAAACGGACGCGTGGGGAATACTCGATTGTCGCTGTACTTGTGTTCAATGAACTAGTGATAGATTAATCATTTTGGTCGGTGATTGGTGATATTATTTGTTTAATCGAACTGTAAAACGACAAAATAGGGACGAAAAGTGCGAGCGGCAGGCGGAGGCGAAGCCTCCCGCCCCACAAACAAGAGCGTGAGTTTAATTTCAATAATTAATATAATTTATTATTATTTTGGAATTGTTGGAGGGGTTATGGGATTATTTATAGGGTTCTTGAGGTATCGGACTGTATCGGAAATTGAAGGAATTCCACCGGATGTGTTGGTAAACGTTTAACGATCGTGTGTTCTCACCGGCGCTGTTAATTATCAGCAAATTACCACTAAAGGGTTGATGCTCACGTGAGATGTTGAGAGTGAGATATTAAAAAACATTTCTTCACACGTAGATATAATACCAGCGAATCACCTGGGCCCTTTGTTAATGACATGTGAAAATGTTTTTGTACTTTTTTCATGAGTCCTTCGGGAGTTCTCGTTTTAATTCTCTCAAAATTATGGTCTTTGGGTTAATATTTTATATGAACAAATGCTATTTGTTGCAAAAGCACTGAAAATTCGCTCCACAAATGCGTATTTTCAAGTCACAATCCTAATCCAATTGCAACGTGATTTGGTTCACTCTGTTCGTGGGAATATTCTCTATTGAGTTTCAGAGTGGCTTTCGATAATTCAATTGAAAATAAATATCTAACGGAACAACAATCCAATGAGTTAGGGAACGAATAGTATTGATGTTACATCTGCGACGAGTGATTTGAGAGAGAAATTTAATTTTATTTGTGACAATTCGTGTCCTGAAATGTTTTCAGAGCCACTGATTCCAGTGATGGCATTGCTATGCCCGGAAATAAATTATTCACGGACAAATAACAATCAATCCTGAATTGACCAGTGGCATTTCACATTTATTCGACATTTACCATATCCAAGTACCAGTCGTGTTTATTTTACTTCAGTGTTATTTTCACGGGTATTTTTTATCGAATATCACTTTGGTGTATACCGAAGAGTAATCATGCATTCGATTTGATGACAAAAATCATCATCTTTTTCGATTTACAATTCCGACATTAATAAACATAAACAATAATATTGTGTAATCGATTTATTCATTTATCTAAAAAATTGTTGGTTTTATGAGAAAATATGAAAAGGCTTTTTTTTCTGGAAATTTATTGAGCCAGCAAAAGGTCCCGGGATGTTCCCACGTGGAATCGATAGTTTTCGATATACATCGTGATTGCAGGTGATTTTTATTTGATTTGTCTGAATTTTCGATTGATTCGATTGAATTGAATGATTTGATTGGGAAAATCCGGGGAATTGAACTTTTGGACATTTTTTCATGGGGATTTTGCATGGGTAATTGACGGTCAGACAATAAATTGGAATCGATAAATTTGAATGATTTTTATTCGATTTGTCTGACTTTTCGATTGATTCGATTGAATTGAATGATTTGATTGGGAAAATCCGCGGAATTGAAATTTTGGACATTTTTTCATGGGGATTTTGCATGGGTAATTGATGGTCAGACAATAAATTGGAATCGATAAATTTGAATGATTTTTATTCGATTTGTCTGACTTTTCGATTGATTCGATTGAATTGTATGATTTGATTGGGAAAATCCGGGGAATTGAAATTTTGGACATTTTTTCATGGGGATTTTGCATGGGTAATTGACGGTCAGACAATAAATTGGAATCGATAAATTTGAATGATTTTTATTCGATTTGTCTGACTTTTCGATTGATTCGATTGAATTGGGAAAATCCGCGGATTTGAAATTTTGGACATTTTTTCATGGGAATTTTACATGGGAGGTCAATAAGTGGTAATTGACGACCAGACAATAAATTTGAAAGAGAAGAATTTCATGTGAAGTGGATAAGTAGTGGCATTTTGTACCTAGTTCTTCTCTTGCTCATGATACTTGAGCGAGAAACAATGAGCCTGATGGAGGGCTCAACGAGAAAAAAAGTGCAGCTTTCAAAGTACCTCCCACATATCTTTCTGTGAACAACAGAGACATTTCTCTCCAATTTTCTAGTCATCATGTCCCATTCACCCTGTGTCCTCGATCTTTTTTCTCTGAATTTGAGGTGTTCTCGGTGTTTTCTGCTGAGGATGATAGCCCGAACTTTTATCCTGAAACTTTCTCAATTATGGAATCAATTTTCCGTCACCTGGGACGTGTGTTTCAAACTCCGGCACGTATTTTCCCGAGGGATTAAAAGTTTTTTAAATACAAATAAAAAATTTAGTGTATTTAGATTGCAAAATTGGTATTTCCATGGAGAATTGAAAAATTATTCGACGGAATGGTGGGACTACAATTATTTAACAATATAAATACTGGAATTTCCGTGTGTGCAGATCTCGATTTAGATTACTTGGAGCGTCGAATCGGTGATACAATAGCGAGTGATAATGCGGATAGTGGATCGAAAGAGGATGAGACACCAGGAGACAGTCTGGATCGTGTCAAAGTGGTATTCCTCGGTGCACCAGGAGTTGGAAAGTCCAGTATCATACGTGTGAGTACATTTCACCCATGTATCAACAGTTTGTATAAAATAAAAATCCTTAACAATTCCCTGAAAACATGTAATCCAATTTATCAATGTCAAAATGGGACTCTGGGAGAAGTTGATAAAACGGAAGTTTCCAGTATGAAAAGGGAATGGAGAGGCTCCAGTGCTCATAGGAGTCGAGATGTGCCTCTTTCTCTCGAGGAAACTCATTTCCGCTTACGCCAGAGACTTCCGTTCATTTCCGAACATCATTACCCACCTATCGGATCCTCCCAGTGTCTCCGACAATTTCCGATTTCTTTTCTCATTTTCCCTGCTGTCTGTTATCGGTTAAAATTGAATGGATGACTGGGATCGATGCATTCGCCTCTTTTTCACAAATCTCCAATCACCAATGGATTTTCGTCAGATGAGAACTAATAGTGCCGATTTCTTCTTTTTTTTTTCTCTCTTTCACCAGCAATTTGTTTGTACCGAGTTTTTCGATAGTTATCGACCCACTGAGAGACGAGAGACGTTTTATCCCAGTGTTGTGTTGTCGGATCGGCTTTATGAATTGAAAATCACCGATCTACCTACAATACCGTATTTTCCAGCCAGCACGCATCTAGAGTGGACTGATTTTCGATATTACGGACTCAGAAGTGCATCGGCTTATGTTCTCGTATTTGATCTCAGTAATCAGGACACTTTCCAGGTAAATTATCCCTCAATACCTCCAAATTCAGGCGCCCCAACACCAGAGAGACAGATACTCAATAAAAAATACGTTAATTATTTATCATATTTCCATGGAATTATCCATAATTACATATTTGATAATTAATAGATTTGCACGTGAATAGTTCTCCACTTTGGTAAATAACAAATAAATTTGTGATAAAACGATAAACGATGGATAATCTCTAAATACATGCTGCAATACTTTTTTCTCTTGACATTCTTAGCATAAATCTCCAGATACTTCAATCTTCTCGAAAAGGGGAGGAATAAAGTGGAATCGTTGAGTTGTATGATTTCGTTAAGTGGGTCGGGTCCACTTTTGGTCAGACAAGTGGAAGAATTGTTCAAATAAACATATTTTTCTTGTAAAGAGTGTAAGATAACTCGAGTAAACAAATGGACGTGTTTGCGTAGTACATAAGAACCCTGAGGGAGCAAATATACGAGGCGAGAGACATGCGAGGAGTTCCACTGCTCGTCGTGGGAAATAAGCAGGATAAACTGTCAGCTGTTGTGGCATCCAGTACGAGGTATCGAGATATTGTTAATCTAGTGAAGAAGCATTGGAGATGTGGATATGTTGAGTGCAGCGCTCGATTCAACTGTCGAGTTGTTCAGGTTTAATATTTATTATTAATAAAAAATAACCGAATATCCAAGAATTGCCAGACTAGCACTAAAGACTATTGAGGAATTTTTCCCTCTCCAGATATGTTGGTGATAATTATGATCTGCGCTTTAAATTCTTCAGGGTCTTTACGTTGCTGCACTGAAAAAAGCAATTATTTAGCAATAATTATTATAATATCAATTAACTCTGTATACAAGACTTGAGGGATTATTTCAGATCTCTTTAGAATCCCATAGAACATCGGGCATTGCACTTTAAATAATTGATTCTCCGACTGTAAACTGAGAATAAAAAATGCCATTTGTTTGGTTTAAAGGAATTGGATAGCAATTGTAGAAATGCAATTGAGTGGTATTTAAAGGATTTATTGGCCGTTAGTTTCTGCTTATGTAGTATATTTGTTTATCGACAGGTATTTCGTGAATTGATGAAGAGCATTCAAGCATCAGAAGGCAAACAAAATTCGCCAGTGCCAACGCCATTGTTACCCCATCGATCCAATCCACGTGATAGCAACGACAAGTGTATACTTCTCTGACAAAAAAGTAAGAATACCAAAGACGAAGAGACACTAGTGAATTCGCACAGCAAAATCCACTCGTCTTCTTCCTAAATCCTTTTTTTTAGAATTTTTTCGTCGAATCCTCTCTAATTGTTACGATAGTACCAATGGGGACTGTCCCAGCTCAAGACATATATTTTACTATGTGACTGTTGTGATGAATTCGTTTCTAGATAAATAAAATATAATTAAAATTGATATTCGATGAATAAATAAGAGATGTGTATAGCCTCGAGATTTAGATGAATTTTGCACACCTCGCGTGCAGATTTACAAAACAAATGATAAAAGGAATTCCGTAGACTCGACAAAAGGGCAATAAGATGAATCCGTCATTTTAAGTTCAATAAATAAACTAATTCATAAATGAAAACTGCCTTGGAAGAAATTTTTACAACTGATTATTGTACCATGAGTTTCAATGGTTGAAGCGTTGGGCGTTAATTGTATGATTAACTGTATCTAGTGGTTGAAAACAATGAAATTATATTTCATTCGTCATAAATACTGTAAATAAACGAAAGATCATGTTATGTTGTTGACTCAATAAAAAAAGGAGGAAGTGTTTAGTAATTGAACAAATGGAGTTCATCAATTCATTCCCCCGTAACAATCGAACATCTGTCAAAAATTTATAAATCAATGGATTGAATAGATAGTCATTAGAATTATTTTCGATTCTCTAAATTCTCAGTGAACTGTCAAAACTACCGAAATGTCGAAATTTTATCGAATACTTCGACATGAAATTCTCCGGAATAATTACATTCTCGGCAATCATCGAGGTTTCAAAATTTCTCCATTCGCTGCAGGAATGAAAAAAGTATTGGTTAGAAATATTTTCAATTGACAGTTTTACGAACTAAAAATGACCAAGGAATAATGGCAATAATTGTATGTAAAGAGTTATTAATTAAGAGTGAAGAATGGAAATAATTAAATTCAGGTGAGTAAGACCCTCGGGGCTCCGAGCTCGAGCACAAACTTGAAAGAAGTTCTCAACGAAAAGATTCCTCTGTACTACGACCTCATCAGAGAATTTCGCGACGAGCACAGCTCCAGTGTAATTGGACAGATAACAGTCGATGATTTGTACTCAGGACTATCAGGAGTAGATACGACAGTGAGAGAAACGAGTGAAATTAATGCTCATTCAGGAATAATGTACCGAGGGTTGACAATGCCTGAGATCGTCAAGCTACTTCCTCTCCGTGGTAATTATCCCAGTCCAGAATCTGTCTTCTGGCTTTTATTGACAGGAGATATACCAACGGAGGTTCAAACAGCTGCTCTCGTATCTGACTGGGAAAATCGAAGGGAAAGGCAGAGGTTTTCCCTCAATGAAGCCAGAAATTTTTTACTGCCACTGCCCAAGCACCTGGGACCGACAACAAAACTTTCTCTTCTCCTCGCAGCATTTGATTTCGATGATAAAAAATCCAGGAGTGGAATCAGAGGAGCTGCCATGAGTTGTACACATTGGGAGGTGATTTCACATGAATTTTAGTTATTCAGAAATAAATCCATGCATTCAAAAGAAAATGCAGATTCCCTTTCCCAAATTAAAGTGGCTAAAGCCAAAATAATGAATTACTCAATCATTTCATTTAATATTTTATCCGATTAATGTGCAATGTGCAGTCGATGTACGAAGACAGTATGGATGTGCTGGCTATCTTCCCGGCAATTGTGGGACTCGTTAAGAATCCTGACAGCTTCAGGAACACGAGGGATTCCGGGGATTCCGTTGATTGTCTGATGGAATCGCTTAAGAAGAACTCCCAGGAGAAATTGACGGTTCAATCGTCGACTGAGGACCTGCTCCGGCTCATAATTTTACTCAATGCGTACTTGCAATTGTTATAAATCCATAGCCGATTGTTTATTTGATTTAATGACTGTTCTCTGGGGATTGATAGGGATGAAGCTGGTGGTGTGCCAAGCAGTCACATCAGCCAAATTATGGGATCGTGTCAGTATAGCCCGAGAAAAGCTCTTGCTGCAGGATTTTTAGCTCTTGGTAATGAGCCAGTAACTGGAACACTTCCTCAGGTACGTGTATTTCTATAATTGCCGTTTCTTTTTCATTTAGTCGTCAAATTTTCCCCATTAGTGTATGAATTTTCAAGAGAAAGTTCAACGACTGCTGGGTGCACACCGAAAGGAGGACATTCTCCGTGGAATTGTCAGTGCTTTTATGAAAAATCCATCGAGCTTTCCAGGCTATCGAACTTCCAATTTCTGCGATCCCAGATTTCTTCTCCTGCAGGAATTCGCGAATAAAATAAACAACGCATCGCTACATCCAGATGTTCAAGTAAATATATTGTCCTCTTGTTTTTATTGTTTACAGGAAGAGAAAAATTCGCGTTTCAGATTTCAATTGATATTTCGAACGTTCTGCAAACCATTTCTGCTCCTGATGCTCCGCGATTGGTTCCAGAGATGAATTCTTTAGCGGCTCCTTTACTCAAGGTTTTACCAACGGGACAGAATTATTAAAATTTTTATTGGCACCGGTTTTTCCATTGATTAATCAATTTCCTTTTAGTCGAATGGACTTTATGATATGGAATTCAATCAGACCGTAATCTGCATGGCTCGATCCATGGGTTTGCTAGCCTCGATTATCTGGAGCAGAATCATCAATCTTCCAGTGGAGAATCCAAATTCACGAAGCACTCACGCTTATATCGAATCCCTCAGGAATCGTTGAAAAGTAAAAAATATAACTAAAAATATAATTGTGCAAAAAACTTAAAAATATTCAATTCAAATTTTCAACTCTGCCGATAATTACCGGAAAATTGTATTACCGATTAGCGATTACTCCACATCGGTAAGAGTGAAAACTGCATCTTGAATTTGCCCTTTAATGGTGACGTGTGGAACTCGTAGCAGCTGACCACATGCCGCCAGTCTGACCACTACCTTCACTGGTGTCTGATGATTGTCTGACTACAGGATGTCATCATCCTCGTGATAGACACCGGTTGTCGTACCAAAACGTGTGCCAACATCAGTGAAAGACACCGAAGACTCCAGGGTCCACTGCTCCCAAGGAAAGTAGTATGTGGCATAAATTCTGTGCAATCCACGTGGAAAAATGTCAACGTTGCTGCACGCTGTCCTGCCTATCGTCCACTTCGTTTACAGCGTTTACCTCGTTATCTCGACCCAGTGGGCGTTAATTCAGAGTCGGTTTTGGAAAAAATTCAGTTGCACTGCCTCAGGAAGTCCTGAGTGGGACGTGAGTGGAATTAAAAAATTACCTGGACACTTGGCTGTTGTTGTTGGGTTCGAGGATGTATCCTTCGTTGATCTCGCCAAGATTATTTGCTGGACGGCTAGTTTACGAATACCACATGTCAGTTTTTATGATTTGGATGGTAAGAAGTCCCTCAGGATATTTATTTTGTTGTCATTGTTCTCCCCAGCATATATTAATTTTACTAGATCCATTTTCATTTAATAGTGTTATTAGAAACTGTCTGTTATTAAGATCTTTTGTTTCGGGGCTTTCTTGCAGGAGTCATCAAAAAGAATTCAAGCAAATTGAGGAGAGAATTCGAAATCCTGAGGCCTAATCTTGACTTGAGAGTCACTTGGGAGCCGGACAAAACCTCAACAAAAGATCACACAGCGAATGAAATCAATGGTAATAGTGTAATTATTCTCACAACATTCAGAGCTGATTGCTAAGAATATGTTATCGTTGGGCTTTTGTTACCCTTTCGAATTGTTTGATAATTCCGATAATTAAATAACTAATTCTCTAGAAAATTCTCTGATCTTTTTGAACTCAAAGAAATCAATGAAAATTTATTCTCAACGTTGACTCATTTACTTTTCATAATTTTTTTTCCAGCTTTGAAAATAGCGAATTGACCTAATGAATTAATTTTTTGTCAGGCTTCACATCCACGAAGGTCCACTTTTTATCATACGACAATGGTAAACACGGTATAATTGAGTTTACTAAGGAATTGTCACACGCGGTGAGCCAAGGATTTCTGAAAACTAGTGAAATTGACATAAAACTGATAGACGAGAAATTGCAGTACAATTTCCCTGATCCTGATCTTGCGATCGTCTGTGGCAAGACATTTTCCACATTTGGAGTACTTCCATGGCACATACGCGTAACTGAATTTGTGTAAGCTTTCTAATGACTAATTTCTATAAAGAAAAAACAATAATTATCATCGTTGAATGTTAATGATAATTATTGTTGCTTTGTTCTAGTCATTTATCAACTCATCACGACGTCACCCAACAAGACTTTATGAATATACTAGTGAGGTACGATCGCTGTGAGCAGCGATATGGTAAATAATTGAATCGGTCTTTCGTTGGAATTCTTATTCCAATTGCTGCCTGTACACACGATTTACTACCTCAAGGAGGCCATCACCGATGAATTATCGAATGATAGATACTAACGAATGGGCATGTAATTGAAATTGTTGCTGAATACCAAATGGTTGACGGCTGATGTCAATGTAAATAATAAGTAGTTAATCATTTATTTATGGTGTATATGGTGGGTTGCTGAACAAAGAGGAAATGAGGAAAGCTGTGTGTTCCTAAGGGAGAAACGTATGTTAAATGGAAATTCTCTCAAAATTTCGACTACCATAATCTATTAACATATCTCGAAATTCAGATGCATTAAACGATAGTTCAAATCTCTGATAATTAATTTAATTAGCTTTGATACCACAAAAAATATTATTCTTCATACTTTGTACTGCATTTTTCATTTGAGCTGAGTAACGTTTATTGTCGGGGTACGTAGACTATAAAGTACATTCCATTATCTTTCGGTTTATACAGTAAATAAAAATCCAGGATATTTTTTGAGTTGAATTTTCGATGGAAACACAGATGGATCAGTAAATAAAGACCCCCGGATATTTTGTAAAATGAATTTTCGACGGGCATGTAAACACTGATGGATATCACAAAATGAATGAAATAAATCCAGACAATGTTCCGAATATTTTCTTTGTAAAGTCAAAATGGAGACTGAATATATTTCAATAAGACTATATTATATACATTAGTTGCTCATTAACGTAAAACGACTCATTGGTTCATTCAGACTCTCTCACACGACTGGATTTCATCATAAGTAAAAAAAAAAAGAGAGAAAAAATAAAACACGAGAGAAAAAGCAGGATCACATTCAGAGTCAAAATCATCCACTCACTCCATCCTCGGTCTTATCATAATTACCACTAGAATTCGTAAATAACCGTTATTATACCATAGATGCTGTTGAATCCGTAAACCGGAAGCCTGAAACAGAATGAAACACCCTCAAGATCATGGCCCCATCCAATTTACTGTACTTCTGACAAATCGATCGTTAAATCGAGTGCTTCGAGTACTAGAGTCACCATGCACAATTAATCAAACAATTAATCGTCGACTCCTCCATCTAAGAAACAAAGCAATAGAACTACCCATACAGAATTTTGTTATGAGTAGATTCCATATATTTTAGAATATATTTCTCAAAATATATTTTTCCCTGTATTTCACCGATTTGTCAGTAACGGACCCGTTTGGTATTTTAAAAAATACATTTAAAGAAATATATTTTTCCATGTGGATAGGAGATTGGAATGAATCATACAACCTTGTATTCTGCTCTTTCTCCAGCATATCAATCCCTGTATCGTCGCGATGACTTCTTACCATCACGATGACCCCTAGACTTTGATCTTGATCTCCTTCTCTCCTTCGATTTTGATCTGCTCCGACGTTTTGATGAGCGACCATAATGCTTCCTGTTCCTCGAACGTGACCTAGAGTGTCGTCTCTCCCTGCTGCGTCTTCTGGAGTATGAACGAGAGCGTCTGCGTGATCTAGATCGTGATCTGTCCTCTCTACTCCGTCGTTTTCTATCGCGAGAGAGTTTCAGACTGGATTTACGACTGGAGGATCTGGATCTGTAGTCCTTGCGCCTGTTATCACGAGAACGACTGCGTGATCGAGATTTTCGACCCCGAGATGGACTACGACTACGAGATTTTGATTTCCTTTTGCGACGTTTTTTCACGTCTCTGCTGGATTCTGAGGAGGGAGAGGAGCTGGAGGAAGAACTGGGAGAGGAGCTGCTGCTGCAGGATTCTGGGGACCTCGAGGGTGAACTGGGGCTTCTTGATTTGTGATTGTCTCGGGGATCTGATGACTGCTGGTGCTTTGGGGTTTGTCCACCGCTCGATGAACTGGGAGATGATTCCCTGGAGATTGGCAGCTCTTGCCCCTCAGCTATGAATTAAATAACGAGAATCAATCCACTTACAAAATGAGAGTATGTAAATTAATTGAAGAAAAATCCTCGCTTCTTCGTCATATATTTTTTACCATTATCCAAAGGCGTATCGTTCGTGTTATTATCATATTTGTGTGACTCCTCGTCTTCCTGTTGCTCATTCTCCTCTTCCTCGAGGATGCGAGCCTCGATTTCCTCTTCGGTCTTCTTAAAAGCTGCCTGTCTTCTTTTCAATGTTTCCTGATTAATAAATAGAAAGATTTGATCATCAGCCTTTCAATTTCACTTTCACTATGACTTCAACGTTTATTTCTCAGATTCTCACCTTGAGCTCGTTGTCACTATCATTTTCCTCCGGTGGAAGGGTATCCTGTTCTTCCTCTGACTCGCTGTTGCTGTCACCGTAGATGCCCAGACCTGGATTAACGATAATTAAATTAATTCACACCCCTAATCAACCTCCCCTGACCCAACTCCATTGTTTAATCTCGATAATCACATAACTCTCGTTGCAATAACGTAGGAATGGGAGAAAAGTGACAAGTGGTAACCCACACTGTCCACTTCCCTCCACCGTACCTACGGCACTCAATCTACAAACCTTCTACAATTTTTTGTGATACTCACATTAAAAGTACGAATTCATTTACTCACCGAGTTTTCGAGTGATCTGAGCAAGAGGGGCCGTGTTGGTGAAGGATGCGATGGGGGTGCCTCCTGCAGGGGCTTTGTAATACACACGAATTTAGTGGTGAATTATTCACTGACTCCTTTGTTCTTTCTCTTATCAAACATGTTTATTCGCTTTTTCAAAGGATCGCTCCACTCGAGATAATCTTCTTCGTAAAATACCCCGAAATACCGCTTCACCCTGATTCCTTCATCAACTTTACTTACAATACATTATTAATTAACAATAAGCAGAGTTTTGCCATTGAAACAGTGGCATTCATTCGCAGATGAGCAATTCAACAAATAAAATTGCGAGAATACTGAAATTAGGGGAAGAATGAGGTATGTGCAGAATTGAAAATTAACTAGGTAATGGATAACTAGAAATTGTGAAAATAATGGGAGATGGACTGTCGCCTTGGCCGCTCGTTTTATCACAAATCCTGAAAATAATTACTCAATAAAAAGAGTGGATAACTGGGGGATGGGAAAAAAACCGCTCGTTTAATGCACACAGTGTGGGATTATGTACAATGGCGCCGGTGGTCCAACACATCGACGCTGAGAAAAAAATCTCCGTACTCAAGCTAATTATTAGGTAAAATATGTGGAAAAATATGGTCTCTTGGTTTACACAGGTATTAGTTAAATTGGGGTGTTGATTATCAGTGGTACCTTTGGCACGAGAACGACTCCATACTTCTCTGCACACGTTCGATATTTCCTCGTTTGTTACCTCCAATAATATTTCTGTTAACGAACGCCTCACCTTCAGCATCTGCACGAAATCCAATAGAAAATTCTCAATTTTTCCACGCATTTCAAATTAATATTGATCTATACTTACAACATCCTGAAGGATTTCCTCACGAGATCTCCTCCCAGGATTTGGAATTGCTGAGGGCACAGGGCTGCTTTCTTTATTAACCATAACCCTAGGCTCCGGAGACTGAGCATCTCTAAATCTCGACTTCCTCGGCCTTAAGACAATATCAGGACTGGCATCCAGATTGGCATGATCCTCCTCTTGGCCAGGAATCTCAGCCTCCGGCTCGATCTCCTTATCCGAGTCAGACTCAAATTTGCTCTTGGTAGGATTTAGAACAGCTCTAGCCTCATCCTCAGCAATTTTTCTCGCCTCCAGCTCCTGCTTCCTCAGCATCTCCTGCCTCTCTCTCTCCACAGCTTTGTGCTTCTCCCTCTCCATCTTCTCCAGTCCCTCACGAATCCACGCAGGTAGCTGTCGACGTTTAGCCGCATCGAGAACAGCTGACGTATCTTCCTCAGGAGTTTTCTCCTTTTCATCTCGATTTCTCATGAGTTCTCCCCGTAGGTGAGGCACCCTTGGGCCCTGTCTCATCCCCTTGACGAAAGGAGGGGGATTCTGTGTGTCTGCACTCCAGTACCCCTGGACGCTTGAGTTGAAAGCAGGTGGAGCTGACGAGACTGAATTGTAAGGAAATGGAGAATTGTGGCTGTGGCCACGACTTGTGATTGATGGTGCAGGAGGAACTGAGGGAATGGGAATATTCGGAAGACCCATTGGTTTGCCATCAGGGCCCATCGTCACACCAGGAGGAGGAACTCCACTCCACTCCCAGCAAGCACCACCTGGGGCTGCTGCATTCCATTGGCCCCACTGACTCCATGAATTCCAATTGTCAGGACCACTGATGGTCGGAGCTGGAGGAGCTGGAGGTACATCATCCTCTTTGGTGTCCATGTCCATGGGCGCCTCACCTCCACCGTCGTTCGATGATTCGTTGCTCAGGGAGGGAGGGGGTGGCGCTGGAGGAACTATTGTCTCCTTCATTTTTATCCATTGCTGAGCTAGTGCTGCCCAATCCACTGCAATCATTCCGAAAAGTATTTTTATAAAAATTGAAAATTGTTCGAAAAATTTCTAGAGGCCTCCACAGCCCAACAGAAACGAAAGAAACAAACAATTCAGTGACAAATGAATGGTTTTCTGCAAACTCTTTACAATATTCTATTTAAATATTTTTATAGACTCCCCTAGTTTAGGAGGTTGGGAGTAACGTGTAATTATTACCTTGATCATTACTCATATTCTGGTACATCGAGGGATTAAGTGCCCACTGGGTAGGATAGTCCTTGCCCTCGAACATCTCCCTGTTCATCTTCATCTGGTAAGAATAATCTTCCTTCAAATGCACGTCCATGTCATTGTTTTTTGACGTTACTAATTAATTCTAAAGGTATATCCAGGCAAGCTGCATGCACCACAGCTCCCTTTTCTTTCTCAACGAAACAGACAATCTACACTGAGAGCTCAACTTACTCATAAAAATTGAGAGAATTCAAAATTAACCATGTGGGACACCTCCCTGCCCTCATAACTCAATATTATTCACCGTCAAATAATCAATCGCTGTAAAACACTCCTAGACAAAAGATGAATTCCACCGATTCTACCGATTCTACCCCAAGGCAGAATATTTTATGGCCGATGTCAAAGCCTTGGAGATTTCGCCTAGCGGTGGCGCGTGAATAACAAAAACTACAAATTTATTCTCAAGCCCAGTCTAAGGTATGATACAAGCAGGTATTGTCAAGCCAAAAACAGGGGACAAGTTCTCTCAGGCGGCACGAGACAGCGCGGCGGTCACTATCACCTTCCCCTCATC